TTCTCACAGCTTCACTTGGTAGTGCCCCAGGGGGAACTCTGTGTGGGGGTTTGTATTAGGCCATTCCCACATTCTTATAAAGAAATACCTGAGACTGGGTAATTTATAAAGAAAAGAGATTTAATTGGCTCATGGTTCTGCAGGCTGCACAGGGAGCATAACACAGGCATCTGCTTCTGGGGATACCTCAGGAAGCTTCGAATCATGGCAGAAGGTGAAGGGAGAGGAAGCTTCGAATCATGGCAGAAGGTGAAGGGAGAGCAGGCATCTCCTATGGCGGGAGCAGGAGCGAGAGAGAGAGAGAGAAAGAGAAAAGTGATACACACTTTGAACAGCCAGATCTCAGAGAAGTCACTCACTATTGCGAGGACAGCACCAAGAGGATGATACTCAATCCAATCCCATGGTCTGATCACTTCCCACCAGGCCTTACCTCCAACACTGGGGATTACAATTCAACATGAGATTCAGGCAGGGACACTTCTCAAACTATATGAAAGTTCCAACCCCACATTTCCCCTCTGCTCTGCCCTAGTAGAGGCTCTTGTGAGGGCTGTGCCCCTGTGGTAGGCTTCTGCTTGGGCACTCGGGCTTTCTTTCATATTCTCTGAAATCTAGGAGGAAGCTGCCAAACCTCCTTCACTCTTGCATTCTGAACACATGCAGGCTTAACACCACATGGAAGCCACCAAGGCTTATAGCTTGCACCCTTCAGAGCTGTGGCCTGAGCTGTACCTGGGCCCCTTTGAGCTGAGTCTGGGGCTGAAGTGGCTGGATGCAGGGAAGCAGCCTTCCAGGGTGGTGCAGGTCAGCAGCACCCTGAGCCTGGCCCCCTAATTCATTCTTTCCTGCTGGGCCTCTGGGCCTGTGATGGGAGGGGCTGCCTCTTAGATCTCTGAAATGCCTTTGAGGTTTTTTTTGCCATTGTCTTGGTTATTAGCACCTGGCTCCCTTTCATTTATGCAAGTCTCTCTAGCAAGTGGTTGCTCTGCAGTCTGCTTGAATTCTTGCCATGAAAATGGGTTTTTCTTTTCCACCACATGGCTAGGTTCCAAATTTTCCAAGCTTTTTCTGCTTCCCCTTTAAATTTAAATTAAGTCATTTCTTTGCTCTTGCACCTGAGTTAGGCTGTTAGAAACAGCCAAGTCACTTCTTGAACACTTTGCTTCCTAAAAATTTCTTCTACCAGATACCCTAAGTCATCACTCTTAAGTTCAAACTTTCACAGATCCCTAGGGCATGAATGCCATATAGACATGTTCCTTATATAACAAGGGTGATCTTGTTCTAGTTCTCAGTAAGTTCCTTGTTTCCATCTAAGACCTCATTAGCCTGGACTTCACTATCCATATCACCATCAGCATTTTGGTCACAACCATTTAACCGGGCTCTCAGAATTTCCAAACTTTCCCTCATCGTCCTTTCTTCTTCTGAGCCCTCCAAAATCTTCCATCCTCTGCCCATTACTGAGTTTCAAAGCTGCTTCCACTTTGTCAGGTATCTTTATAGCAATGCCCCAATCCTTGGTACTAATTTTTTGTGTTAGGCCATTCTTGCATTCCTATGAAGGAATATCTGAGACATGGTAATTTATACTGAAAAGAGGTTTAATTGGCCCACAGTTCCGCAGGATGTGGAAGCATGGAGCCAGCATCTGTTCATCTTCTGGGAAGGCTTCAGGGAGCTTTCACTTATGACAGAAGGTGAAGTGGGAGCAGGCACATCACGTGGTGAGAGCAGGAGTAAGAGAGCTGGGGAAGATACCACACACTTTAAAAAATGTTATATTATTCACATAAAAATAGAGACAGTGTCTTGCTATGTTGCCCAGGCTGGTTTTGAACTCCTGGGCTCAAAAAAATCCTCCTGCCTTGGTCTCTCAAAGTGCTGAGATTACAGGCATGAGCCACTGCACCTGACCAATACCATACTTTTATTTTTATTTTTTATTTTTTATTTTTTTGAGACGGAGTTTCCCTCTTGTTACCCAGGCTGGAGTGCAGTGGCGCGATCTCGGCTCACCGCAACCTCCGCCTCCTGGGTTCAGGCAATTCTCTTGCCTCAGCCTCCTAAGTAGCTGGGATTACAGGCACACACCACCATGCCCAGCTAATTTTTTGTATTTTTAGTAGAGACGGGGTTTCACCATGTTGACCAGGATGGTCTCGATCTCTTGACCTCGTGATCCACCCGCCTCGGCCTCACAAAGTGCTGGGATTACAGGCTTGAGCCACCGCGCCCGGCACTTTTATTTTTTTTTAGACAAGGTCTTGCTCTGTCGCCCAGGCTGGAGTGCAGTGGCACGATCTCAGTTCACTGCAACCTCCACCTCCTGGGTTCAAGCAATTCTCGTGCGTCAGCCTCCCAAGTAGCTGGAATTACAGGCAGGTGCCGCCACACCCAGCTAACTTTTTTGTATTTTCAGTAGAGATGAAGTTTTGCCATGTTGGCCAGGCTGGTCTTGAACTTCTGGCCCCAAGTGATCTGCCTGCCTCGACCTCCCAAAATGCTGGGATTACAGGCATGAGCCACTGTGCCCAGCGCTAACATTCCATTTGTTTATTTATCCATCGATGGACACTTGCATTGCCTCCACTTTTTGGCTATCGTGACTAATGCCTTGATGAACATGAGTATATACATATCTTTTCAAATTCCGGCTTTGAATTCTTTTGTGTATTTACCCAGAAATAGAATTGTGGGGTCACATGGTATTTCTATGTTTAATTTTTTGAGGTACCACCGTACAGCTTTCCACCATGGCAACTTCACATTATTAAAAGGCCATTCATCAGTGATTTTGATCAAGATTTTGTGATATGCAAATAGACCTCCAAATACTTTAAAGGATATAGTGAAACTTCCAAGACAAAATTAATTGTATATAAAAATTCTTAGCAAGACAGCTTGCTATAGTAAAACTTTTAGCAAGACAGCATGTACAATGAAGGATTAGTAAAAATGGTGCTTCAGTGCTTTTTCTTTCTCTTTTCTTTCTTTTTTTCTGAGACGGAGTCTTACTCTGTCACCCAGGCTGGAGTGCAGTGGCATGATCTTGGCTCACTGCAACTTTCATCTCCTGGGTTCAAGCAATTCTCCTGCCTCAGCCTCCTGAGTGGCTGAACTTACAGGCATGCGCCACCATGCCAGGCTAATTTTTGTATTTTTAGTAGAGAAGGTTTTCACCACGTTGCCCAGGCTGGTCTCGAACTCTTGAACTTGCGATTCACCCACCTCGGCCTCCCAAAGTGCTGTGATCACAGGCATGAGCCACCGCGCCCAGCCTGCTTCAGTGCTTTTTCTTGCTTCTCTTCAGAAATAAACCTTTAAAAAGATGTATATAGGTGGGCTAAAATAAAAACCATTTTTCCCCTAAGGCAGGGGAATTTAAAGTGTTAAGGGCCAGGCATGGTGGCTCACATCTGTAATTGCAGCATTTTGGGAGGTCAAAGTGGGAGGACTGCTTGACTCCAGGAGTTTAAGACCAATCTGAGCAATATGGGGAGACCCTGTCTCTCTAAAAAAGAAAAAAGAAAAAAAAAAGTGTTAAGGCATTTAAAGTGTTGTGTTCCTGAACACTCACCTTGTTCTCTAAATCCCAGACCTGAGCTCTGTGTTTTCTTAGGGCCAAAATGAACTGAAACATAAATTGCCTGGACCCACCTCAGTCCAAAGACACACCTGAATCTGGAGAATCAACCCAGGAGAAATAGCACAGCCATCTGACCTGAGTTATCATATAGTTCTTCTCATTGTCCTATTTTATTTCCAAAATAGCACAAATCACTATTTTATTTTTTATTTTTTTTGAGACAGAGTTTCGCTCTTGTTACCCAGGCTGGAGTGCAATGGCACGATCTCGGCTCACCGCAACCTCCGCCTCCCGGGTTCAGGCAATTC